TCTCGCTGCAGCCATATTAAGTTAAGATATCAGAAGCAAAAAATGACATGCAAAAGTTTCTTGTGTCATATAGCTTTATTTTATCATATAGCTTTATTTTACTTTTCCCTTAAAAACATGATATTTTCACATTCTTAAAACTCGTAAAAAATACTAGAAAGTAACATATCTGTCCAATAAATCGTAAAAGTGTAAAATAATTCTTGAAATAATGGTACACTGCTCAGCTATCAGAAATCACCAGATCACTAAATTTAGTTGTTCCTGACAGCTGAGCAGTGTACCATTATTTCAAGAATTATTTTACATTTATTAGACAGATATCATACTTTCTAGTATTTTTTACAAGTTTTAAGAATATGAAAATACTATGTTTTTAAGGAAAAAGCAACAAAATAAAATTGTATGAAACACAAGAAACTTTTTGTCTGTTATTTCTCGCTTCTAATATATTACCCATGTCGCGCCGCGAAAAAATCGAGTCTTAAAAGAGTTCATATTATCTGAAATAAATAGCCAAACTTTGTTATATTTTATATAGGTACAGCAACAAAGATAGATAATTTGAGAGAGGAATTAGAAGATGCCGAATCCAAAGTTGAGCAATGTCGAGATCAATTGGCCGCGGAGATGTTCCAGCTCATGTCACGGGAAACTGAATTGGCTCAGACGATTATTCAATACATAAAACTTCAGCGAGCATATCATGAAAGCGCCTTGCATTGCCTTGAAGATCTTATACCTGGATTGGAGAGTTATATCAGTAAATTTCATGCTTTTTACAGTTGTAAAAATATTTCCATTGTTAGAATCATTAATAACAGATCGATTCATAAGTGAGAGCGATAGCTTATCGTGATCAATTCCAGATGATAACGAAATGAAACCAGTCTATGGATATCCTCTTGAGGAACATCTTAGAGTAACAAACAGAAAAATTGCACTGCCCATACAATTGTGTGTATCCGCGCTGCTACGTCTGGGTATAGAGGAGGAGGGTCTCTTCAGAATAGCCGGTGCTGCCTCGAAATCACGGCGAATTAAATTAAGTCTGGACGCTTGCTGTCTCACTTTGTCGACAGCCCTTGAATACAAAGATCCACATGTTATTGCCGGCGCATTAAAATCATACTTACGAGAATTGCCGGAGCCGCTACTGACGTACAAGTAAATATCGATTGCACTTAATTAAGATCAACAATCGTTACTGTATATAATACGATGCATTGGATTATTCAGATTGTATCCTGAATGGATGGCTGCTGCAAAAATCTCGCACAGTGACATGAGATTACGTGCTCTCTGGGAAGTATTATATAAGTTACCACCGGCGAATCTGGAAAACTTGCGATTTTTAATTAAATTTCTAGCTGTGCTTACGAAGAATCAAGATGTAAATAAAATGACACCGCAAAATATCGCTATCGTCATTGCGCCAAATTTAATTTGGAGTCCGCAAGAGGATACAAATACAATAGTGTAAGTAAGCGATTCTTGATAAATCCATATCGTTCATTTTAGAACAATAAAAAATCTTTTTAATAGATGATTAATGATCTGCGATAAGTATAGTAAATCTTAAAAAATAGCTTTCAGCTAAGTAATTTCTGATAGTATTTCTTGAGTTGCTTTAAGTTGTAATCTCTCAACTTTAACTTGGCCAAATCGCAGAATTGTAGTTTGTAAACCAGAGATTATACATTACTGTTAAAAAACACTTAAACTTCCTAATTTTTGTAGGATGAACATGAGTACAGCGAACAACTCTAGTCTTATAGTAGACCAATTAATTACGTACGCGGATTGGTTCTTCCCTGGTGAGGTAGATTTTGATCGCGATCTAGATATCGGCATCGTAAATGATACGGAACATCAAACTATTGGCATGCGTCGCTGTGTGTCCAATAGTAGTCTCAGCGATCATGGTGAAAGTCCAACGCAAGGTAGCCCAAAACCAGCGGCGCGTCGGAAGAATAAGCCGGCGCCAACACCGCCGAGCGGCAACACTCCAGACAGGCATGACAAACCGCCACCACCGACACCGGACAAACCACCAAGAGCATTGACATCTACCCTGAATCGATCAACGTACAAAAGCCAAAAGCACGAGGTGACTACTGAATTAATACGACACGAAAGCAACATGGAGAAGCACGAGAAACATACGGAAACTGATGCGAAGTCGCAGTCAGTTTCGGAATTAATTTCGACGGATGTTCATTCCGCTGATAATTCTGAACGATTGCATCAAACTGTCGCTCATCAAAGTGAAGTTTTCAATTACAATGAAGTGGACAAGAGTGCCCAAGAACTGCCCAAATATGATATAAAAGTAAATGTATCAAATGCAAAAGAGAAAGCAAATGAGAACTCCTATGATAATCCAAGTGTTGCTAAAATAATTACGGAAATCGAACACAATGAAACTGCAGTGCAGAGACCAAAACCAGTGCCTACAGAAAAGCCATCCACGTTAGAAAGAAGAAGGCCGATTGCAGCACCGAGAAATATAACGAATATTACACATAACACAAGTAAATTACTTTTCTTAATGTTATTTCTAAATGTTAACTTTTTTCACTTGTGATATCGATACGATGTTAACCTATCTATGTATTTAATTATAGCAGAAGATGGAGTCGAGTTACGTAAAAAGCCAGATAGTACTATTACGAATACGCATATATCTCTGAGTGATAGAAGTAGCAAACCGGCGATACCCGAACGTCCGCCCGGTTTAATTCGTCCATCGAGCCTCATCAGACAACAGCCGCGTTCCACCAATGAGAACCAAGAAACCGATCCGGGGGTGAGTGAAAACGATTTACATCAAGATTTCATTTGTACATAGTATACACACACACACACACACACACACACACACACACACACACACACACACATTATATATATATATATATATATATA